ATTTTAATTGGTATTAAAAAATTAAAACTAACTTTTATTTAATTAATTCTTCAATTAATCGACCCCAGCTCCTCCTCCCTCATCAAAATCCCATAAATATAAAATATAGTAGTTGACAATTGCCCTTGTTAATATATATATATATATATATATGTATATATAGAAGTCCAATTTTATCGAAGAAGTCCTAAACAATGTTCATTTAAAGCAGAACAAGTTATCATCCCACGTCAGTTGTAATTCGTAATTCTAATAAGTGGCGCCGCAGGACGAGAAAATACGGTTTCGAAAGAAAGTTTAAGAAAGTTTTAAGAAATTTCTTTAAGTGTACTGAAATTTTCACATTGACAATAACCCATAGGTACTAATTAAGTAAACATGACCTAAATTTATCATTCTCACAAAATTATTAAAATCTTAAAATATAAAATCCAAAAATTGAATAAATCTTTTTCTTTTTTTTTTTTGAACTTTGAATCGTATTTTTTGGGCAAATTAAAGTGTGCCTCTGAAGTAGCAAAAGAGGTTTAAGAAAAGTTGCAGAAGAAACAAAGAGATGCCCGACGGTAATATGACTCTATATGTGAAGAAAGATAGAGTTGAAACTTAAAAGACAGAGAAAAGTAGAGAGGTTGGTTTGGTTTAGTTAGAGTTAGTAGGGTAAAATTTTTAAGATATACTATTTTTACATAATTTTTAAGAAATAAGTTTTCTGCATCCCAATCACATGGATTTGGTCGACTCGACTCAAAACAGCTTCAATCAGCACCTAAAGATAATGATATTTAGGTTCAAGCAAAAGAACTAATGATATTTAGGTTCTTCTAATCCAATTTTGTTACTCTTTTAGTGCTTTTATTGTTATAATTACTGATATAATTACGTGTTAGAGTAAGTATCATGTATGCCTGATCAAATCATTTTGTCTAATTTTCAGCATTTTTAAAAGGCTGCAGTCACTGAATACAGCAACGTCATCCATCTGGGGGGTGGATGATTGGGTTCCATTGGATCGTGATTGATGGCCAAGAGTTTCCTCAAGAATCTCCCCGTCTCTACTGGTGAGATTGATGATGCATCTTTTTCTCTTCCTTTGTCACAATGGTTCGATTGCTATGTGATGTGTTAAGTAATCATCATAAAATGTGTGTCTAGGATGAATGCATACATAGATACGGTTGAGGTTGTGGCCAATAGTCCTTTTTAGCTAAGGTCACTAATTTGTTACTAATTTTATCTGAAATTTATCAGTTTATATTTTTTTTAAATGTTAGTTATAATAAAAAAATATTTTAAGGACAAATTATGCATTAAAAATGTAATCTACCCAATGAATTTATTTAAATATCTTTAATGAAATTATTTTTTACATTATTTTATTGAAAGTATTTAAATAAATTTATAAGATTGACTATAACTATTAATTATTTTTAAGAACTATATTAAAGTAAAATTTTAATAACTTTAGTGCTTTTAACAAAAAATAATGATCGCTGTAACCATGTCCAAGTAATCCACCCCCACACTAGATAGGAGAAAATGGGAAAGTCGAAAAACTTTGGTCAACTGTCCTATTGGCTTCTGTAAAGCTCAATACTCAATGGTATCCCGAGAAGTGTTTTTTTTCTTCATTTTGATTTATTCTAGTAAAGACTTATATGTATATAAATATATAAATATATATATATGTAAATACTAGAAATTAAACTCTAAATTTGTAATTAAAAATACAAATAATTCTATCATTAAATTATATGGTTAGTAGTATTTATTCTAGTAAAGATATAATTGAGGGTCTGGGGTTATTTTAGAACCTGATCAGCTCCCAGCCATCTTTAGTTCCTCAACCCTAATCCTAGTGCACTGTGCAATTACTTGGCAAATCTGTGGGCCTAGCTCCCATGTTATAGTGGGATTGGTTGAACTCACTCTGCTTCATGAGGCATAGCTGAGGAACCACCATTCCAGCCTTTGATATGTACAAATCTAAAATGCTTCACTGAATAACCTAATGCCATCTACAAATACAACACACTAGAAAATCAAACTCTATCAACTGATATTGAAAATCCCATCATTTCTCTAAAATTTTGGCGAAAATTGTCATAAATCTAGAGGGATTTCCATAAAATCTGGCTGTTTGAGAATGAGGGGGAATGATTCTGAAGAGAAATTGGGCACCGTTGTTATTTTCAGAAGCCATGGTGAGATTGCTGCCCTTACTATAGAGATGAGAGAAAGGGGTATATATACAGGCCTTGATAAATGATATGTCAAACAATTTTTTCAGTTCTATATTCATGAGAAAAATGAAGGTGCTTGAAAATGGTCTGGTTAGTTCTCTCATAATGGATGTTCTGTCACCAACCCTTCTTCAACACAATGGTTGGCAAAACTGTAACTCGTGTTGCTTTATTACGTATTTTTACTTCACTATTTTTAGCATATCTCCCCCAATTAATCTCTGATTTCTAAAGGGTCATTCCATTTTGCTCTCAGTAAGTGTGTTGATGGGATTTTGAAGCTTTTTACTTAAATTCTGAAAATGTAAACCAGTTATTTTGACCACCTTAATATATTCATGGAGTTTTGACCCACAAAACTATGGTAGAATTCTCTGTATATGCTTACACAAATGACTCACGTGGAGCTCTCAACAACGAAGGCGTTTGGATTCTAGCCTTCGATGTGTTCTTCATAATATTTTGCCTTGGGATGGCGTCTATCATATTCTTCGCTGTCTTCTTCTGCTGCATGCCTATTGTAGTAATTGCCTGTGCTATTACAACCAGACAAGGTGCTTCTGAAGATGATATCAGGAGAATTCCCGAGTATAGATACCAAAAGACTAGTCTAATGACAAACTCAAATCCCATTCAGACAAATATTCAAACATACTTGGTCTGCAGCTTCACAAAAATTCAGTCTTCCCTACCTCCTCCTCGCCTCTAGGCCCAACAAATGAAACTGTAATTAAGAAGCATGGCAATCACTCATATCACCAAAAGAAGTACTGGTCCATAATTACTTCGACATATCTCTACCATTTCAATTGTATCACACTAACTAGCAATTTAATCAAAGAGCATTCAAGCCAGTAAAGAGTAATAGAGTTGTGCACCTTGAATTTAGAGACAGCCGAGGAATGCTGGTAAAAAAAACAACAAAAAAAAAGGACTCCCAAGGAAAGGGTTAAAGCCAACCGTCATCCCTGTACTTTTTAGAAAAGTTCAATTTAACCCTTATACTAAGAAATCGCCTCAGACTCTCCTGGTTCTTTTAAGCGCAACATGTCCTCCTTCTACTATTTAAAAAGTGCTCAATGTCGTCCCTCCATCCATTCCCTCCCTAACGACGTCAATTTTTACCGTTAAAAACGTAGGATAAAACGATTAACATATTTTTT